GGCACCTTTGCCTAATTAACACTGTCATAAAAAAGAAAAGAAGTAGGGCTTTTGAAGTCGTTCCATCCCCTTCTCTGACTCAATGGTCACTGTAGTTATCAAATTACCCTGCACAAAAGGTAGTGCGCCTGATCGATCTGCCCATACCATTGGCATATTGTAGAGGCCAATACTCTATTTCTTTGGTGTTTTTATCAGTGGCTCTTCTGGAACCGCTATGGGGTGTAAAGGGTTAAAATAGTTTGGAACTTGACAAACTATCACATCTTGTAGAGCAAACAATATTCTACAAAGTGGTATACTTGTTCAATTTTCGCCGAGTGTATTCAAAATCGAGTGTGTGACTTCCGAAAAAAATGCGTTTTGCATGAAGAAAATGTCTCCGCGTTATGAGACTGTTACTCTTTAGGCTTTTATTACTTAGAAATGCAACAATAATTGAACATCTTCAGTTCAATCTGGCAACGGATCCAGCAGATATTTTTTCTGTTCGAGCAACATGCACATATACATGATTGGATTTGATCCAGTCCTTGGCCACGTTCAACTGAAAATGTTCAATTTTTTATATTTTTGAGAATAAAAGGTCTTAAGATTCTGATACTAAACAAACTGTTCATTGCAATCACTCAAATCGAATAAGAGATATAGAAAGCTACAGTTTATGACTAACTTATTGTGGTAAGTTATCAGTAGAACGATGAAAAAACGTGGCTGCAATTCAAAAATTATGAATAAATGAAATGAAATTGAATGGTAGATAAATTCCTATTATATTGCTTGGCAAAAAACCACTTGTTTTTTGAGAGTCTAATTCGGATAACCCGAGCAGAATAATCGGTCTATAAAGCAAATTAGCCAAAGCAAAAATATGGAACGACTCAAGACAGCTGCCTATATATACTAATCCTTCTGTTCGACTATCGGATAGCGTGTCGATGATGTGTTTCCATTCCAAAAAAGTCGAAATAAACCCATTTAGAATAGATCTGAATGCAATTCTTATTTATAGGTTATCAAATGACTCGAGATTCCTCCTTTCTCTCTAAAACTGTCAAAAATACTAGACAATCAGTGGTAAAAGAAATTTTGAGTTCATTATTCAATATTATTTCATCTGGATAAAAATGAATCAACAAAGGCTTTCTCATTGTTGTTGTCCATCTATTATTCAATGGATATTCATTAAATGAGAAAAAATTTATTAATTCATGGTGAAGAATGAATTGATGATCGTGAAGACTATATAAATAAATACAGCACGCGTGTAGCAAAAAATTACCAACGCATAAAATAAGTTAAATAATTTTGCATAATACTTTGTATACCTTAGTCCACTTTTCCGGATGAAGTCCCCCATGAATCCCTGGAAAAATATGAAATCCTTGGTGAGTCTCAGAAATAACGTGAAATGCCTAGAGAGTTCTCAGGAATTCCTTGTAAAATCTATGGTGACCCCCTGATTTCCACGTAGTGGGAAGAAATAATGAAGTCCCTGGTGATTCACTGGTGACTCTCTAAGAATTTCTTAGGGAGAATGTACAACGTATTCACCGTTTTGTTTTGCGTCTGCAGGAAAAAAAAAAGCTAAACTACGCTTAAAATTGAGCACAGGAGTCGAATTGAGTATTTATTCTTTTTTGGGAACTTCCTGAGCAATCCCCCGGACTCCCTCTAAACTGCCTGGGGAATTTTTGAGAGAAAATGGACTAGGATATTAAAAATTCCTACCGCGTATTTGCACGGGATATAGTTTTTTACAAAACGGTAACTAGTTAATTATTTTTTCTTTCTCGAGTGTTTTCAAGATATTTTTATCTATCAAATAATCAAAAATCTCATTAAAGATTTGTTCGTTACGGCGTCTAATTAAATGTGTGCATGATCTGAAGGTCTTTAATCCTTGTAATATGACAGTTTGAACTTTCTGAACAACGTCGGAGATTTCGGATAATGGATCATTTGAAACCTTTACAAAAAATACATAGGCTTTCTCGCCATATATTACGCCTGATATTGAATAATTCCAAAGTGCACCTTTTCTTCAGAAAACTGCCGCTTCTTCCATACTACTATTTCTTTAATTGGCATGAGGGCATTGTGAGGAACCTATACTTCTTCTAGTTATAAGTCCTTGAGAATTAATTGTATGTATGCTTTATAATACGTATTGTATGTATATTCTCCTTTATTCGACCACTCTTTTCAAAAAGTTACAAGCTACTGACACTAAGATCTACTACATGCCAAAAGATAAGAACAAAAAGAAAAAGAAAAGGAACATCAAAAATACCAAAAAGGAGAGGATAGAGCGAAACACAGTAAAATAGGTATTTACAGAGATAAACTGTACATTGGAAGTGAAGGTTGCGATCAATTATCGTCACAGGCATCTCTACAGGTTTCAGCACACCTAGTAACGCCCGGCACCCACTGATTTCAGAAACATTACTTAATCTTCAAGGAAATTAGATTGAGATAATGATTCTTTTACCCACACACTCATTTTCCAGTAACATATTCGAGTTCAAGTCGACCAGAAGTGGCAATAGACAGTGTTGCTACCATCTGTGAATGTAATGACCATAACGCTTGTTTGAATGTCGGTTAGTTTAATGAAAGGAGACCGTTGCTTAGCGATTGAATTGACATAATGGCCGGCTTTATCCAATTAGAGTTACAGAAAGCGGTTAGTCTGTTTCTTCGTGCATGTGGTTCCATGAGTTTAGGTATTGATAAGATAATATCAATATATATATAATAACTGATAAGACAATATGGTGTTATTTACATTATTGTCAGTTTATCGGGTTTTTCGTCACTAAAGTCTATTTGTTGTGAAAACAGCTTTTTTTGGATCTTTTGCTGTGAGAGAAGAGTTACACTGTTTCTTTGTTCAATCCTGTTGACTAATAGTATTGAGATATGTTTTCTCTCCCTTGAGGTTATGTTTGTTTTTAACCTTTATTCAAAATTGTTTGGCCGTCAAATCTGGACTAGGTCTGATTTATCCATGAGCTCTTTTATTTTCGCTGTGTGACTTCTTTTTTCCCTTTGTGGGTCCTCACGATCTTGTCATCAATGATACAACCATTCGCTTTTTTTTCATCGGTGATTGCGGAGGGTTGCCGTTTGCTACGTATGAAACTCCATCCTAGAAAACTGTAGCGAATGCTATGAGCATACTTGGAAAACAGTTAAATACAAAGGTTCAGGTAACTTCAGGAGATAATTTTTATTTCGATGATATAACCGCGGTTAATGACAAAAGGTTTCAGGTAACGTATGTTACACTAAAAATATTGCTTAAATTCAAATATGCGTACATTTATTTCAGAACACATTCGAAAAAGTATTTACGACTCCTTCGTTACAGACACTGTGGTATATCCTGACTGACAATCACGATCACAGAGAAAAATGCCCTTCCATCAAGGATATGCCCACAAGAAGAGGAAAAGAAGGCTATCTTTGGACAGGCTTTCTATAAACTTATTTGTCTTCTAAATCATGCAAAGGAGATGTAGTTTAAAACGAAGATATGGTACTATTGCGGGTATTGCTTCAAGACTGAATCAGATTTAGCAAAAGTTATTGATGAAAGTTTTTCAATATAAATGGATAATTGCAATATGCAAACGTGTCAAAGCGATGTTAATTGTGAAGAAAAGTTTTCTCTTTTACTCTTTTTCGTTATTGCAGGATATTTCCGGATTTATTTTATACATTCGCGTTAACGACAAACAATGAAGAGAAATTAAGTCACTGCTTATTCTTACGAACATGATCACAGTTTACAGCATTTGGCGAATGATTTTGAAGATACGCGCGTTGATTATTTCGTAAGTGGTGCTGCCAATTTTATAAGTGAAAACACGGATCATGCAAAAGATGTTCCACACGATTCGTTGAAATTTTTTCTGAGATAATTTCGTAATCTTTGGTGACTTAGGACTGAAGTAAATAAAACAAACATGACATGGTCATTTATTGAGCACAACCAGAAAACGCTTTATCAAACATCTATGAGGTCAAGATTAATGTAAACTTGGTGATTGAATTCGATCTACATTTAATATCTCTATGTGCAATACAAATACTTATCTATCTTTTATATTGTTTTTATTTGTTTTTCTAGTAAAAAAATTGTCCTTTTGATAATTTACTTTTCTTGTCTTCCAACTGATGTGCAATTGATTGTGTTGCAGAAAATACATCATTTATTGCGAAATAAAAGCGAAAAAGATCTTTTGTAATTAAATACAGGATATCCCCACCTCTGATGAATTTGCAGGAATAATGAGATGATGCAAAAACTCACAATGTGCTACGATCACTTAACTAATTAACATTTTGCCCTTTTCTTTCACTCTTCGAAGTTGTTTAGAATTTTTTTTTTTTTTACTAGAATTATTTTGACGACAATGATTATCTTGCTAGAAATTTCTTAAAAAAATCTTTCTCTCCCTATAGAATTACAGAATCTTTTTCTGTGATCTGTAAATGGTTCTTTCTCATTCTAGATCGCTTTAAATAGATTATGTCATAGTAGAATTCGTAGCGTTTTTTGAACTTTAATACATAAATCGGTGTTCATCGTACATTATTATTCCGTAAGTATGCACTAATCAAAGCTTTTTTTGTATAGTACTGTGTTTCATGTTTTGGGTTATTTGTCTAAGATAAGAACCTATAGATTTCCGCGATTTCTTGCTTCAAGATTAGTACACAATAAGCAACCGAATGTTCAGCGTTTTCAATTATGGTGAAGAAGGATAAGAATTTTCTTCTCCAAACAATTTTTCGAGCTGTCTGTTTTCGTCCTTTTTCACTTCTCCAGATACCATCTTGCAAAATGTGTTGGCCGAGGACGGTTTGTGGCTGGCTATTTTTTCTCGTACGTACAGAAAATAAACAAGTATTGATCAGTTATTGTGAATGAGCGTAGAAAGTTGGGAAAGGAAAAAAATCCATTTCCTTTACATTACGGATTACTCTTCATACGTTCACTTGGATTACTCAAAATTTTGTCCTGGAATACTCACTCTCCGGTTCCCTGAGAGAAATTTTTTCCCTTGCTTTTCCACTTACCTTTGCTTTGATAAACAGCGAAACAACCGCTAACAAAACATATTCTTGCCTTCTGAACTTTTTGAAAACGTCTTCTAACTAGATAATAGAGGAGTAGAATCTTCTGTACATAGAAATATTCAGGGGGTCGTATCGTGAAAAAACTTAAGTCCGAGGACTTGAACCGTATCACGAAAAAGACTTAAGTTGGCGATTTGTTTACTTTTTAAAAGTCGTTGACAATCATGACAAACTTCGGATAAAAACCCGCAAAATAACGAAATATTTATTCTTTAATCCTTAGAATGTCGTTTTCGTCAAATCGTATCGTTAAATGCCTGATCTATTCGAAAAATGTGTCAATGACTTAAGTCCGACTTAAGTTTTCGGTCTTAACTTTAAGACTACATTTTCCATGGCTTAAGTCACCCTTTGACTTAAGCTTTTTTGTGATACGGTGAAACTTAAGTCAAAGACTTAAGTCCAAATTTTGACTTAAGTCAGACTTAAGTTTATTTGTGATACGACACCCAGACCCATAGTGAGTAAAAGCAGCACGGAGATGATTACAAACGAAGTGTGTCAGTACGTATAGTAATAAAAATTTCACACTTTAACATAAAAAGAACGCAAAATTTTAACTGAAATTCTGTGATGATAAACCTCAAATGCAGTTTTACAAACGTTTTGTTAATTTATTAGAATGAATGGTTAAAAATGCAAACTCTTGAATTACACGGTAAAGAGAGTGGTCAGATATGGCATCGCAAGATAGCCTCAAAACACGGGTAGGTTGACGGCAAAATCATAAAATTGTCTATCTTTTTGAAATTTTATTTTATGTAGACTTCTTGTATCGATTATTCATTCTGTATTCAATGTTGTTGATTTACCGTTAAAAACGGTTCATTTTTTACAAGCAACATTCGATCGTAATGGCAATCGTCTACTTGCTGTGGATCAGCGAGGAAATGTGTACACGTTCGATCTTATTCGAAATAAGTATGTGTGGTGGATTATTTTAATAAATTCGTCTTAATTAATTTTCATTTGTTAGATATGAATTAGTTCATCGAACAGGAACAAGTTGTACAGCTTTGGCATTTAACCTGCGAAATGAAGCCGAATTTCTTATTGCGATGCCGGATTTTACAGTCAAGTGTTTTGATGCGAGTGAGTCTTCGTACTATTGATGAATTGTTTCAGATACATAGGTTTTTTAAATTTTAGGTAAAAAGGAATTTGTTGCATGGATGAAAGGTCATTCTTCACCAGTTAAAGAAATATCTGTCGATATGAATGGTGATTATTGTATAACAACTTCGGCTGAAATCGCATTTTTATGGGAATTAAAAACATTCGAAAGGAAACGAAAATTAACTATTACAAATAAAGCCGATGTTTGTTTATTTCGAGTATGTGGCAAAGACTAAAAGATGATCGTTTTCCACTCAGTCATTTTCTTTAAGGCATTTTTTTGTCCTGTTACGAATTACATTTTGACTTGTTTTCGTGATGATTCGATACTTGTATGGGAAGCAAAAAATTTAGAATTTAAATATCAGTTATTAGTTCCGGATAAAACACCACCATATTATCGTTGTTTTGCTGTAACAAAGTATGTAGTAGGACTCGTATATAATAAACTATAATGTACGGAGATTTTCATTCAAGTGATGGTCGAACGCTAGTAGCTGGTGGAAAATCAAGTTATTTACAAATATGGAATTTAGAAACTCATAAACTCATTAAAATAATTGAATTGCCAAAAACAACAAAAGAAATAAAAGAAATGGAATTCATCTGTGAAAATTTTGATTCTGGTTCACACAAAGTAAGAATATGACTGATTACTCTACATCCCATGATAAAAATATTTCTATGTGTTCTAGATAATTGCAATGTTATGTCAAGATGGGATTTTACGTTTTGCTGATATTGAAACGTGTTGTGATTTATTCCAGTTGGGCAATGAAAATGAAACTATTTCACATTTTCGTATTGGTTCAAATGGCAAATTTTGTACATGTATTATGGTATCGGGACAATTGAACATCTATGATCTACCATCTACATGGAAAGAATTAAATAAAGTTAGTATCGAATTGAAAATGACGAGATTACAGATGTTTGTTCAAAGAGAATGATAATAATCGTGTCATTGGAAAGTTTGAAAAAAATGTTAATACTCTTTTTAGCCTCCATCTCCGATGGTTAGTGTTTTACGTTCAAAAGAGAATTATGAAACGAATAATGATAATAGTCAAATGACATGTTCAAAAGCTTCATCAACAATATGTTCACGAAATACTCGTTCATCTCAAAAAACAGTTAGTACAAATAAGAAAGTATCCAATCGTCGACGTAGTCATTCAGCATCAACCAGAGATCATCGTTCAACACGTTTATCAGATAAAACAAGTCTATCCTCATATAGTTTGGATAATTCAGCTGTAAGATAACATCTGTAAAATGCCAAAAAGATTTTTTTAACTTATAAGCAATTTTAGTTTCGTGAATTACCGGAAGGTCTAAATTTTAAGAAATTGTATCAAATATTACGTTATTATGGAGAATATCCATCGAAATATAGGTATAAAATCTCAGTTGAACAGAAAACAAAGCGAACTTTCTTGTTATTTCATTCAGAGCTTTCATCTGGCGTTGTTTGATGCGATTACCAGAAAATCATGGTGCATTTGCCGCATTAGTTGATAAAGGTGGTCACCTTGTATTTGCTAAATTACAAGAACAATATCCATTGAAAAGTCGAAAACTTCTAAGAATAATGCAACGGTAATAAATTATTGTTACTTTTGACGAACAACAACTAACGAACAATTGTTTTAGTGTACTGTCTGCTTTGGCTCATTGGTCCTCGATATTTGGTGAAACCGATTATTTACCATTATTGGCATTTCCGTTTGTTAAATTATTTGAAAACAATCAATTAATTTGTTTTGAAGTGATAGCAACCGTACTATTCAATTGGTGTCAACAATGGTTTATGTATTTTCCCAATCCACCTGTAAATATTCTTGGTATTATTGAAAACTTATTGACAAATCATGATCATGCATTATTAGCACATTTTACACGTCATAAAGTGACATCAGAGGTAACTAGTTAACTGCCGTTATTATTATTCATTTTACTATTCATTTGTTTCATCTTAAGGTATATGCTTGGCCTCTGTTAGAAACATTGTTTAGCGAAGTATTTACTCGTGATGAATGGCTATGTTTATTTGATCATATCTTCAGTAATCATCCATCATTCATCTTGTTTATTGTTGTTTCTTATTCAATATGTAATCGTTCAGCACTATTACGTGTTATTGATCTAGATGATTTTAAATACTTTTTTCATCACCGAAACCCAATTAGTTTACAATCAATATTAACTGAATCTTATCGTTTATCTGAGATAACTCCAATTGATTTAGATCCAAAAAGAATGATTGAATCTTTCCAACCATTAACAAAAGGACAATATCCTGTATTCAATAAATATCCAAAATTTATTGTCGATTATCAAATACAAGAAAAAGAAAAGCTACGACAAGAAGAAATGGGTTATATACGACAAAGGTAAAATAATTTATAAATAAGTTAAAATAACGTTAAAATTTTACATATTATCATTTCTAGAGAACTAAATGTTGAATTATATCGTGAACGAGAACAACGTCGCAACGAAGAAGAAGCTTGGCTAAGACAACAACAATTATTAATTGAGGCAGAAGAAAAAAGACGAAAATTATTATTAGAAGAAGATATGCGCGTTAAGGAACAAAAAACAAAGTTTGTTATTTATTATCATCTTTCTTCTTCAAAATAACTAATAATCTTATTTTTAAGATTGCAAACGTTAAATCAAGAAATAAAAGTAAGAGAATTACAATTATTAGATGTTGCTAGACGAAAAATGTTACATCAACAACATTTAATGAAAGAAGCAGAATTACGACGATTAGATGATGAAATACGAAAAAAAGTAAGTGGCTATTTTTTCATTGTCGAGATAGTCTTCATTTTATCTGACTTTTCGAGGCTGAAGAACGAAAAGATACGTTGGAGAATGGAATAAAACAAGCGGAATTGAAATCACTCGAACTGGAAACTCAAACAAAAATTTTAGAAAATGTTTGTATCTTAGTTGAAAGTTGAATTTAGACACATTAATGCTTTCTTTATTTTTGTTTAGCAAATGTTACGATTAAAATCGGATAATACATACAAAACATCTAAACCATCTTTCGATGAAAATATTTTGAATTTAGATGATTTATTAGATGAACAAAGTTTAAGAGGAACTAAACGTCTTATTGCTGATGCAAGGGTAATACATTTTATTATTTGTAAAAAATAGAAACTTTACATTGTTGTTTTGTCTTTTCTATTAGAATACACATCACTTTCCAAATGAAATTTCTATGGATAATGAAAATGTTGCTTTACGATATGAAATGTGTGTGAATGGTGAAGAGTGCAAAGATAATATGACCGAGGTATGGAGCCATCAGATTTTACTAATCATAAAAGAGAGATCATCCTTTTATGTGTTTAAAGGTTTGGAAAGAATTACGTGAGGCAAAAGCCAAAGAATTGGAAGTTAAAAAGCATTTAAATGACATGTATAAGCAAAAAGTAAGAAAAAAAAGAACATAACAATTTTATTTGATAAAGATATTGCATATTTTGTTGTTTTATATATAACACAAACTAATATGCATGTGATTTATTTAGAATGAGTTGAATACTACAGACACAAATAAGCTCGTTGAAATAATGACAACAATGAATGTTCAACGGGAGAAAACTGAAGTACTCGATCGACCCAATGATACGACAACAAATGCCATACGTTCACCTGTTAAAAAAAAGAATGATCATATTGAAAAACATGTTGACGATTTGACGACAGAATCTTATCATACATCAGGTAAAATGTATACAACATGACGCATTAGAATTACGTAATTGATAAAATATTTTATTTCTAGAGGTTATACGATCAATGAATAAACCAACAAATGTTCGATGTATAAATACACCAAATGTATCGGTGGCTGATACATCAATATCTTCTGGATGTATGTAAAATTCTTTAATATTTAATTATTTATTCTTATATTATGATTTTTAGTGAATTTGGATCGTGGACGACACGAATTAGAAAATGATATTCGTAAACTATTAACTGATATACGTGATCGTCGAACAAGATTAGTACATGAAAATTCTCAGCCATCAATGTTTCATAATTCATCAACAAATGGAATTTCACCTATTCAAACTTAATTTTAACTTTAAATAGAATATGATTTTTGCATAGCATTTTTTCTATTTAAAAAAAAGATTTTCAATTCGATGTTATTAGATGTAGTTCAAAAATGTTTTCTTTTTTAATGTCCTGACTATATGTCTTATTGTGTGTTTTTTCTTGATGTATATTTATGATTTAGTCAGCATATTCGTACAATCTCTTTCTTAATCGATTATCAAAATTTATCAAATAAAGTAATACATGTTTTCAGTATTACTGTTACAATAGAAGGCAAACGTTCATCCTATAGTCGAACAATTGGATATAGTTTTGGAGAATTAAAACATGTCATCAATTAATCTAGAATACTGCTTGAGAAAGACGTTCATACACCATACTGACGAAATCAACTCCCAAAAAAGAGCGACTTTACCACGATCGGGAAAGTTCGATCAACTTTGTCTCAGTTTGAAAAGAATCGAATGTGATATGTTATCCAATGCTATTTGCTTTAATAAAAAAATAATCGTTTAGTACGAAGTAATACATACAAGGCGTCTATATCAAGAGATGGTCATAAAAGAGTCGAAAATATAATAATTCAAAAAGTTCACAATTATCTGTTAAAATTTTTTGTTGAACATGATTAGTCATCCTTTTAAATTTTGATTCTCGAATTGATTATTGTTATTCTTTAAAAACGTGCAGATTTATTTACTACTTATCCGAAATATATTGTGATGATATTGATAGAGAATAGATTTAGAACACTCGTATGCCAACATGAGTATATATACTTTCGTTATTCAAATCGAAATATTATGTATATGGTCTGTTTGATGATCAAAAAGAAAACAAACTGAAATAGTCATAAATCACGGGAAAAAAAAGTCTTTTTCTGTTACAAGTAAGTTTCATGACAAATATTTGTGATATTTATTCAGATTGATGAGTAGACATGTAGAGGAAAGTAAATCAACACTTACGAGTTTAAATTAGATTTTAAACACGTATGCACTTAATCATAACATGGAGAGATTTGAATTATTTAGAATAGAGCAGATTTTTGAAAGTGTTTTGGGGCCAAAATTTTTATTTGTTGAAATAAATGTTGATGATTAGCACATGTTAGCTGATTTCTTTTTATGTTGTCATTGTCGTTCTTTGATTCTTTTGTTCTTTTAAGTAGTTCCAGTTACAATCACCATATCATCCGTTTAGCAGTTAATATGTATTATTCCTTTTATTTTTCTTCTTTTTCTGTTTATGCTCGTGTGTGTATATGTGCACAAATTGATCTTACACCAGAAGAGATAGAAAATGACATGATACCTACCACTCTAAGTATGTGCATATGTCTATATTGATTATACAGTGTTTTTCAAGCGAATCTAATAGAAAAGAAGGAAATGAGAATAAGAATAATTAAAGAGCAAGAGAGACAAAAAAAGAAAGAGAGTTGCGGAATTTATTCTTTTTATTTACATAGCTAGTTAACGTCGATAGAGGAAAAGAAATTTGAACCTCATTGCCTCTGTTCATCTTTCTTCTGCTAGTTTACTTTTGACCAATAAGTTTCATTTCATGTTCGATGATCACCTCAAGGATCCACTGAATGTTTATAAACAGAAAGGCCAAATAAACATGTGTGCTTGCTTGCCGCATGCTAAGACATGGCAAAAAACAAATGATTGTTATTGATAAACCAAAGTTATAAAAATAATGGACATTCGATTTTGTTAGGTCTGATACTTAATCAATACTCCATACAATATAAAATTCAGTCACAGTGAAGAATATTATTTGTATATGCAAAAATTGTATAAAATTTTCTTCAATTACCCCAGTCTCTTATGTTTAAACCCGCTGATTTTGATAATAGCGTCATTGTTAAGTCACTATCTGGTATTTTCAGATGGTTATACATATCCAGTTGTTTCCTGTTTTAGCACAGCTTAAAGTTGGTGAAACTGTAACAACAAAAATAGTTTTCATTCATCTAAATGAGGAATTTCTATTTATATCTATCTATACAGAAAATAATCCATACTCCCCTAGACAAAATCCTACGCAGGGCCGTGGGGACAGAAAAAATCAGAGGTGTACATTTTTGGAAGAAAGTTAAAAGATTATAAGAGAAAAGTAAAAACGGTTTTAATGCTCTGAAATTTTTTGCGAGAAACATTATGAGCAGAAGAAAGTAATAAATCCGAAAAGCAGGAAGAAGGGGGGGGGGGGGGGGGGGACCCCGGTTAAACACCCCCATTTGCTTAGCCCCGTTAGCGCCCCCATGCCCGTTTTTTTCCAACCCGGGGAAAAAACNCCCCCCCCCCCCCCCCCCCCCCCCCCCCCCCCCCCCCCCCCCCCCCCCCCCCCCCCCCCCCCCCCCCCCCCCCCCCCCCCCCCCCCCCCCCCCCCCCCCCCGCCCCCGCCCCCCCGTACACTCCTTTAAATCCCCCTATTGCTATGACCCTGATCCTACGCACTTCCCTTATATTTCCTACCAGGGTCATATACGATCCTGCTATTTAGGATTTTGTTATGATTCGTTTAGGATCGTGATATTTTTTGGATAATCGCATTTTCTTATCAACATCCTTTTCGGATTCTAACAGAATCGTACCTCTGATTTCATTAGAATTTTATAGGATGTCGTTTGGATTCTAGAAAATGTAAGTGGAACCCTGGTAAGAATCTAGGATCCTGATAGAAAATTCATAAGTATCATACTAAGGTCTAATGTGAGTGGGTATTGGTTAATGTAATTTGAGCTCAATCTTCGTCGGATTGATCATCGTTGCTCTTTGATACGTGAATACCGCCGTTTGAAATATGATAAGTTTTACAAGTTGAACAATCAAAGAGTAAATATAAAACAAATCTGAAAGAAAATAAAAAAAAATAAATTTCCAATCATGATTTTATCGTTTTTATTTTCATTTGTGCTTGACGTACGATTGGCTAAAGTATTAAATTTTTATCTTCAAATAAATGACGTCATGATAATTTACAAATCTAGAAATAAATAGAATTGATCATTATCGCAATTTTTGGTTTTCTTGCGGAATACGTGGTAGTTGATTATGAGGTTGAATGTTTCGAGCATTCTCGCTCGTATCGTACAGTCTTTAGAATACTATTCCTAAGAGTCTTTAAGGAAGAAGAGATGAATAGAGAAAAGATGTATTCACTGTATCGCATTGCTTTTGCCAATCTAAAGCCCTCAAAATAAGCCATCAATATCAATCTCGGCAATTTCTTTTTTATATCATGTCTTTCTATAATTGTAGACCTTGTATGACAAGTTTTCGCTTTAGTTACAGAAATGTCTAACTGTTCACTGTTTTGTTTGTTTATTCACAATGTTTAAGAACACCATTGGTTTTGTGTAGGTGTATATGATCATATGATAGATAACAAACAAAAAGGAGTATGTGGTATTCTATCTTATATTTGTTCTGTGTACACGCGCATACTGTCAAATTTGAGCAATTATTGATCGAAATAGATGATCTATTATTATTTGTATTCTTCTTCCTTTTTTTCAATCTCATTTACACAACTGGTACTCATTACAGTTTTAAGTTTCTTACAGAAAAACACGATATCAAACATCCTGTCGTTTTTTTCATCTTCATTAGTGCTGATTAATTACACAAAAACACCGGCAGTTTTCAACAAGACTATGTTCATTTATGAATAATGAACGTCTGTATTTATCATTTATTGTCAGATAGGGTTGTACGATACTGATATACATTAAATGATAAACGAACATCATCTCATACAGTCAATTATATTCTCTGGCGACAACAAATGAATCTCTTAGCAGATATAATTTCCTCAGCAGCAACATTAATATAGCGTATGAAGTGTAAAGGCAAGGTACCATTGATATTGAACATTTGCTAATGAAATATTTTGGATAACAAATTTAGGATAAGATAATTGAAGTTTTAGAATACAAGAACTATAGAATTATGAGAAGGTTCTTTTGTCATTTGATATAGAAGATGAGCTATGTAACTAATAGAGTTGTAGAGTACTAATCCTAAGTATCTCGTGTTAATTAAATCCAAAAGTTAGTAACTGTTTGATATCTCAAATCTATTAAATTTAACTCTAAATTTTACCTTTGTTTTTATGAACAGAAATAGAAAATAGAAACAAATATTGTTGATTATTTTTATGTAGCGCAGACAGATTCTGTTCGTCGATGGTAAATTGCCTGTATCTTCGTGAGAGTTTATCGTTCTCACATATGTGTGTCAAAAAAAAATTAAAATGCTGAAATACGATACAGTTGATGAAATCAAACGCATCTCTCGTTGTTTTTGTCCGAGAAAAGGTAAAACGTTAATAAGTATTGCACCGCCCGTTTAAATCCGATCTCGTTTGATCTTTTGATAAATGTAAAGAACGCGTAAAAGCTAAATATTTTGATCAATAATCACCGGTACCGTACATATCTAATTACGGTTTATAATCGAAATATCTATTTTTTCCTGTTGCATTAGACACAATTACAGATTTTCTTATTTCTCCAAATATCCACCCACTTTCTCTTAAAACCTGATTGATTATAAATTAGTTTTGCTGCTGGTCATGAATATGTTGTCCATTTTGGCTAATGTGACAGTTTAGATGAATGTCTAAAAAACTTTTCATGATGATCTATTCTAAATTCCATGATGAACAAATCCTGATCCGTCAATTCGTGGAGCTTGTAGAGTTATCCATGGAAAAAGTTCTTCAAAAATACCGAACATATTGTCGATCAGTTACCGAAAATTTATCCTAAAAATAAAGCTATAAAATTATACTGCTGTAAGAAATAAGATAGTAAATTTTCGATGACACATCGACAATATTTTCGAAGGTCTTTTTCCATGAGTAACTCCACATTAACTCAAATGGACAACATATTCATGACCAGCATCAAAACTAATTTATAATGAAACAGGTTTTAAGAGAAAGCAGGCGGACATTTGGTGAAGTTTCTTTGTCAGTTAAGCGCATGAGAGTGAGAGAGAGA